ATGCCACTATCCTCGCATGAGTATAGGTCTGTTTCGAGAATGAAATCCATCACGAAGTTCAATAGAAACGGAGAGAAAGGGCAACCCTGCCGAACCCCACTTTCCCTTGGAGATAAAGTGTTAGCGATTGAAAAAATTGTACGAATTACTGCTCGCGATTTTTCGTCTCCATTCGCAATTACCCTAATATTCTATTGCCCGTTTACCAAAATGTTTTCGTGGAATTTGTTCTTCTGTCTATTGACTAACCTATCCAGTTGTTTTAAATGCTTTTAAATGTTTGTATTTCAGGCGTTATGTAAGGGGTATCTAGGTCTTCATGTTATCCATGGGACTGCAAGTTGAGCACACTGTTGGTTTTCGCCCATTCACCCACTTGTGAGTTATTTAATCTATGCAGCAGGAACCAGCGGGGATCGATTTTTGGACTCATCTTATCATTTTCGGGCAGTTGAACTCAATCGGTGTCNTCGAGTCAGCATTTTCATTATTTTCTCTGACAGATTTTCAACTGTAGTTTTCGTTTTCATCATTCAAATACTGAAGTTCTCAGTAGACATTGCCGTTCACTGATGTTTTTCTGCAGCAGCGACATCCCCTCTAGTGTTGCTTCTAACTTGCAAATAGTAACCAATTCACTGATCTTTGACCAGCTACCAGCACTTCAATATAAGACAGTCACTTATGCACATTGTCCACTTTTACCACTGCTGTCATTGTTTCTTCTCTTTTTTTATCATAGCCTATAGGGAACTTATCCCTTTTGTTCGACCTGCACCGATCGACATTGAAAAGACCCCTGGCACTGGGGAACCGAAAGCTAAAAAAGATCAAAAGCCAGCTCCGAAGGTCGCTGAACAAGCTAAAACTGGCCAATCGAAGTCAACGAAAACACCCAAAAGTTCGGATACAGCCTCCGAAGTGAGTAAATTAGCCACGAATATGGAGCGACTGAACACCCATTCGGACGCTCCGGCCCATAAAGGAGATGCGATAGCTAATGAAAAGCAAAGCAAAGGACAAAAGTCCCGGATAAAGCCTGCTGATGAAAGTCATCCGGCGTCTCAACCCACTCCCACCACTTCAGCCAGTGCACAAGAACCAGCTTCAACTCACCCTCAAAGCGCAGATGTTGAACCTGGAAACGCAGAGAAGAAAAAGCGCAAACGAAAGAAGAATAAGAAGAATACGTCTGAATCCGCTGTCACGAGTGACTAGACGCACACATCGATGCTACGCACCTACCAAAGTGACATGTTTCCACTCTCCCGTTACGGGTTCCTATGTAATATTCTAAACGCGTTCCTGTGGCTCTGGTTTACCTCCCGAAATACATTTGTTCATGGTTGTCATGTGCTTTCCGTCTCGATAGGCGGAGATGAACTGCAAAAGCTTGTGGCTTTCATTGGTTGCACCGGCCCGAAACGTGAAACCTGTTTTATAGGTGAATATGTGGTGCGTGCCTTTATCTCTTTCAGTCAACCAACGTATGGTTTCATGGTCAATAGCGAATCTAGTGCTCATTTGATCTAGGGTGAAGTAGCGATTGTGACGCCTTTTACTTATACTGGGCGTACACTTGTGTGTGAGTTTGTGTATGCGCGTGCTATTTTATTCTCACCAACTGTTTTTTTCATTGTTGACCTATGCTGATATCGTGGACCACGTTTAGACATGATGCTTGGTGGTCAAGAATTAGCTGTAGAGGAATGTTTCTCCTGCTCAGGTAGCTGCGTGACAAATGACGGTAGCATGGTCAGTGAAGTAACCGCCCTCGTTTCCAAGGCTCGAGCAGCTTACGCAGGACTGAAACACCTTTGGTGTGGACACGATGTTTCGTTCAAACTGAAAGGTCGTGAATACTGCGCCAGTGTGTAGTCAGTTCTGCTCAACGGTTGCGAGATCCTAAATTTGCGCGCGGAAGATATTCGTCGTCTAGAAGTCGTCGATTGCCGGTGTTTACGTAGTTTGGCATGTGGTGCTCTTGTTGTAATTTCTTACCAGATCCGAATGCCTGTACAGTTATGTATGCACACTTAGATTGTGTACTCTTGGTGTTGACCACGGACGTTCACTTTCTTTGCCTCCCTCCAATTAGGCCCAATCCCTCTCCATCTTGTGCTTTATCACTTGATTTGTTTACATAATGAGCTTGGCAGCGATCACTGAAGTTCGCTTCAGTGTATCTTACTGTGAGATGATGATGATTAGGCATGAGCGTTTAGTGTGATGTAAACGCTTGATGCAATTACGGACACGTGGATAGAAATACATCATGAACAAATGAGATCTAGGAACAACAGTGTGGAATTTGGGCTGATTCGTTTAACGAATGTGCGAATTAGTAGGACAACTGAGCTATTAAATAGGATCAGCCTAAACAGGAGGGGGTGCGAAAGTGAGAAATTAAATATCGCGGATGTTGCGAGAACGTTGATGCCCATTATCGGATACAAATTCTGCATTTGGATTGGGTAAATTGCTTTTATATACGTCTTCTGAATTAACGACTCGTTTTGAGATGTTTGGGAGCCATAAAATACAGACGCATTTGAAATTATAAAGCACATGAGAAGGACGATGGCTGGTTGCTTCAAGAGTGTGCGTCGATCCAGGCCCTTGTGATAGCAATCACTGCGTATCTGCATGAACGCAAGTTTCCGGCGCAGTATAATTATACCTTTTTTGGAGGAGACGTCTGGATTTTCCTGTCGGTGGCATCAAGACAAAAGAGCGAACCAGTTCAATGTTCCACACAAGAATGTATTGAATTAGTGAGCTGTCAATCAGTCCTCTATGTTATCACAGGAGAGCTGCAGATCGAATGGGATGTCATCTTTACTCTCGGAAAGTAAGTCATTCATCACATGCGGTTGCATGAGTGGTAAAAGAAGAAGGGAATAAACAGCTCAATGAATTGACCGGAAATCTGGGCAATGAACATTAGACGTCTCGCAAAAATAGAGTATGTGCTATCCATTCACAGTTCCTGTCCGGTTGCAATATCTGTTAGGTTAATTGCCTCTTATCATTTTCGGTTTTCATAGAGTTTTCATAGTGGAAAATTTTTAGAATGCAATTTTCACAAAGTTCGTGTAGTCAGGATCAAACCAAGTTGGATGCGGTGCAAACGTGATGATGAAATCCATCGTACACAGAATAGGGGAAACCTGAATGGTCAAGCTTTCAACCACTGTGCAGTGCCAAGAAAGGAACTTTTTCATGGTGTTTAACAACTGGCTACTTTAGTGCTTGTCAGTAGTCACTTGGCAAAATCGGCCGTTACGCACATGGGATTTGTTCGTCATCCGCTACTCAAAAAACCATGATGCTCATCTGTAATTCCTAATTATTCGTTATCTCTGAAAAAGTTATTTTGAGATTCAACTAGGGCTTTTTTCAGAATAGAACAAATTCTTTGTCCTGGAGATAATGATGCCTTCGAATTCGAACAATAACCCAACAGCGGAATCCATTGCAAGTACGCTCTGCTGGGTAAAGCGAAGGGAATAGCTGATTGTTATTTGAACTACCCACAGATGAACTATCAATTGTGAGCGCACACGACAAGTAGACGTGATGGTTGCAGTATTCAGTCTGCTCATTTTTTGCCCACTAGTCTCATTCGTGACGGAATTTAGTGTTTCTCGGGCGGAATCAGCACAGATACCGAGGAGACTAATAAAACGTTGCTTGGCATATTCTGTTTCACTATACTTACAATAAACAACTAAAACCACCCAACGATTGCATTCGACAAATTTAAAAGTCCCGGCGTAGTCGTATGAGTCTCATTGTTCTAAATGAAACTATCATCCCAGTCGCATAGCAAATTTTGAAAACAGTTGTCATAATCGTAATACGATAGATTGGGATGATAGTAGACCATTACCAATCCGTACACAACCATTGGTGATTTTGCACCAACGATCTGATTGATCAAGGATCTTGCCGGCTAAGTTGGCATCGACCCACATTTGGAACGTGGTCTCCATTCACACGCAAAGTGCTCACATTCGATAAATTTGATGCTTTAATGATGAGTCAGATAAATGTGCGTCAGACTGTGATAAACTCTCTTCACACCCCCGGTAAGGAAGTTACCCTTACGCATGTAGTATAAAATCTATTACCAATAATAAAACATAACTTGAGCCAGTTTTGTGGAAAATATGCAAACATCACACGTTTTCCATAATGTCCAACCAATTTGCAATGGTGATATCAAGCTCAGTGTGCACTCTAAGCCAAAGCTCGCCGGGGTGTGGAATGAACAGAACTTTCGAGCCGAATTTAGTCTCGTTGAAACGGATGACACGATCCGTGTGTGTATCAACATGAAACAGTGTTTGTGACCTGTTACACAAATCTGGGTACTGTGACATTTAAGAAAACGAACTCGCTGATTGGAATGCATTTTCATTTATCGGTGCCAAACGGGGATGCATATTTGGGAAATTCGGTAAGAACAAACGACGTAATCATGTTCGGAACTACCACGGGGCGGAAATAACCCCAAAAGCGTTGCGAGAGGGCAAGCACTAAGACCGCCGCGATTACCGGTGACAGTCAAACCTCGCTTACCAGTCGTGCTAGAGAACTGATTGCGTTCGTCAGTTCTGCTACCGGCCGATCTCGCTTGTGGTATCTATGATCGAACCCTGTGATGTGCATTCGCTCCCACACAGTTCCTACCGGTCCATTCGAAGATGAACTCACCATGGAACATAGTTCATCAAAATTGTCCCATGAGTGAGTAAAGTCAAGCGTTGGTACGGCTTTTGAAGACAGAAAGTCTAATGATCGTGTATACTAAAATTACGCATTGATTTCAGCAGAACCACCGTTCGAAAATTGTACGTTTTAAAGGTGAAGCAGCAACGCGAAGTATTGATAGTGTTGTTCCGATCCTCCTGGACAACCTTTCTCAAGTCCTATAATCAGTGGTTCTCAAGTTGCAAGGAAGGATCAGGCAGTTTGAGTTGTGTACTTGAGAAGTCGTTCGATATGAGGTCGAGTTGGGCAGCGTGTCAGAAGGTCAAATCGCGTCAGTCGATCACTGGACATTGGGCGTGGGGATGGAATTCTGGTGCGTCTGAGTTCCCACTTATCACTCACTCACTGCCATGACTACGGAATGAGTGCTTGGTCGGATCAGTGTGCCAGTCCTGCAATCACTTTATGCCTTTTGGTTGATCACCATGTGTTTGATGTTGATCGGAAGTTCCTAAGCTGTCAAATGTTCCTCGTCATTCCTGAATCCGTAATGTACAGTTTCTGATTGACTGGACTGTATGTGAAGATGAAATCAAAAGGATGGTCAGTCCACATAAATGTAACTTATCTCAGGTTACTACTCACAAGTAACTGTGAGTTAAATGCGATTATTTTAGAATATTGAGGTTACTGAAGTCAACACTTCGGTCAATTTTCCATCTCAAATAAAAGTGATTTTTTGTAAGGTTCCCCATCTGTGCTCATAGTCGTTTTGGAAACGTTACTATCTAGATCGTGTTAACCACAATACTTCCTAACCGGACAGCCAATCTTAGACGCGAAAAAAATATACTCTTAAGCTCAATTTTCCTGTCGATGAGAATAGTTTTATCATATATTTATCTAACAGGTTTTGTTCTTTGCAGATATATGCAAACTGGAAATTTGAGGATACCGCCGTTTTCAATGCCTCCGAAATCCTCAGTGTGACTAGGGGCGGGTGTCTAGGGTTGCGGCTGGTCACCCGTCCCTNTTGTACCTCCCGAAATGCTCCCACGCGACCAAGCCTCTCGAATAGCCTCTAAGCACTGCCTTCTCGTGGCGGAGGTGTTTTTGCACGAAAGCGAGAGGACGAAAAGCCAAAATCCGGGGCTATAACCGGGTTGGTGGACCACTGGTAGTTCACCTAGGGGAATTGGCCAAAAACCATGATTCCGAACCAACCAAGAGGAGGCGTACGAACCACATACACCCACACCTTTTCGGTTGTGGCACTGGTCACCAGCTCGATTGGGCATCAAGATATATTGGGCACCTTGGACGTCTGACCTCGTGCGAAGGGCGTATGATCCGACGAAGTAGACACCGGCTTCCAATGGATTGCGGTTTTCGCACACCGCCCTGCTGCCTTGCGGGTCAGGCTTTGGCTAACCGAAGGCTCCGGTTGTGGATTCCTGAAGAAAATTCACCTGTCTTGGTCTGGGCAACCTAACAGTATCCGG